CTTCCTCCCTGACCTGTAATGCTGAAGTCAGACTTTCTGCCATTCACAATGGATGAGTACCCCTGTGCGTAGGAAAATGTGACCTTTCTGTGCAGCAGCAGAGTAGACCAAAGTGATGGGAGAGCATGTGGTAAGTGAATTCTCAATCCACCCCATTTCCAGGTAGGATTCTTCAGAGCTCCCTCTATCAGAGGTAGACAAGTTGTGTCATGAAGTTTGGTTACTTTAATCCTCTGCTAGCAGCTGTTGGAGATAAAAATAACTTTTATGCCCTGCTGCTTTTAGTAGGTAGATGGAATGCTGCTTTGAACTTGCCTGCATTGCTCTCCAAAAAGCTATTTCAAATTAATTAGCTGAACGTTATTATTTTATGACTGCCCATGTATCCTGCAGGCTGGTAATACTTGTGAACAACTGGGTTGTAGTGTGACATGCTGACTGCTTTTCAGTGGTAGGTCTTGCTGTCAGTCCCAAGCCCTGGCAGGCTCTGAAAGCAGTGGAGTCTCAGTGATTTACACAAATCAAGTGTCCCCAGAGAGATTCATTTAATGGATGTGGTTTTGAGAAAAATATGTTGCTAAGTCGCTTTTGCCTGCCTGATACCTTTTCTATGGGAAAGCCCTGCTGTGTTTTGTTGAAGCAGCTTCTGTTAGGAATTGTCTTGTTTCCTTTTCCAGGTCACCCGCCTTTATGGAGCGTGTTCCTTCTTGACTGCAGTGAGTATTACGAAGGCTTCAGCCAGCTTTCTGAGGCGAATGCAAGTGAGAACAATGTCTCTCTCAACTTGTTTTTTTGTTCTTTTCATAGCTGTATTGCCTATAATTGTCTGTAATCATTCCTGCTTTCTTTTAACATCAGGAACAGAGGCCACCATTGTTTCATACCAAAGTCAAAAGGGTATGGAGTAAGGATTTTTTTTCTTACTGATAATTAAAAGGAACATGCAGACCTTTAAATCTGTGTTTTAAAAGGTGAGTCACAGAAACAAACAAATGAGAAAATTTTCCTGTAACTTTCTTCTTGTAGAAAACAGGCAGTAACTGATGAAATCTGAAAAAGCCTGGTATAGTCAGAGTATTAGACAGACCACAGCTCTTGTGAGTTGTCCTGAAGTCTGTGGTCAGCCTGGGCATTTCTGGCCCACGAGCATCAAGCAAGGGGGAAGCAGAAATGAACACATCTCCTGTGACCAGCCTGCCTTCTGCTGTGGTACCCACATCACCCCAAAGGAACACTCTCCCAAGACAGGTCTGTATCAGCAGTGTAGAAATGACAGTTCAGAAAGAACTGCTGTCAGAACTTCAGTACTTGCTTTCTTTCAGTTACAGCTCACTGATAGCCTGCAGTGTTGATACTAAAAACATAATTGGGCAAGTGGAGTAACCCAGCATTTCAAAAGCACAGGAGAATTTTCTGTGGTGGTGGATCTGATCACACTGCAGCTGGTTTGATAAAGACATACACTGCAGATAAGTACTGTAAAAGTACAAAAATAAAGCACACAAAGCTCACATTACTGCAGAAGTCACACAGTTACCCCTCCTCTCCCTCATAGGCACTACTTTTTGCTTTCACTTTTTAGTCCTTTTTCTGCCACTGGGGTAACACATCATGTGTGGATATTAAAAGTGCTAAGTACATTGAGCTGGATATTGGACCGGAAGCATACTTGGGGCACATTAATGAACTATTTAAGGGTGAGCTTGGAAGGCATTAAGAAGAAGTGGGAAGTAGGATGAGAAGCGGGGTATTTTGCTGGTAGGTATCTTAACTCTTCAGTATCTTTTACTGCAGAGAAGGGACAGAAAGGAAGGAGGCTGAAAATGAAAATGGCAGATTCCAGAGATGAGAGATGAAGAGGTAAATGGTAAGGAATTAGAATAGAGTGATGGGAGAGAAAGCAGGGTGGGTTACTGTGAAGAGAGACAGCAAAACATGTTCCAAAGAAAACTGGATGCAGGAGTGCTGTAGCTAAGTTCAGTGGTGTATGGGCTTCTGTGGTGTGTCTGGCTGGGCTGGAGGGGAGGAAGCAATGCCCGTGGCTGTACCAGCACACATTCTTATTGGGATGACTGACGGAGTTCACAAACACGAAAAATATGCTCTATCATACGCGTTTTATTGACTGACAGGGTGGGAAGGGTGTTTGCCCATGCCAACACAGCCTGAAGGAATCCCTCCCCAACCTCCTAAAGTAAAATTAACCTGACAAAACAAAGTATGTCTAAGTGGTGTGAGGAAACCTTCTTTTTACTTACTGCTCAGTTGTCCTGACTCCAGAATTTTACCATTGCTGAAAAGCTCTTTCACCTGTAGTGAATCCTAATGGTGACAATCAGTGATGCATTCCTGTTCCCCGTTCAAGTATCTGTACTGATGGCCTTGCAGTCTTTGCATTGAAACTCTGATGAAATAGGTAGAAAGGACTGTCAACCTGAATCAGTGGCAGATCAACCTTCCATCTGTCTCTTGCTAAGCTTTCCTTACCCAGGCTGTCTCTGTCACTCTCCTTCCAGAGAAGTGATGCAATTTCATCAGTATAATGAGACCATCTCTGCAGGCAAGCGACAGACACTGGCACAGGGTAAGAGGCATTGTACCTTTTAGGATTTTTCTATATCAGAAGTGCAGTCCTTTCTTGCAGCATTTCCTCTTACCTTTGCATTATCTTGGGTCTTCTAATACGCTTATATGTAGGTTTTGCTTTTCCACTCATTAGCTCAGATTTATCAACAAAGTAAAAGCATCTTTTAACATTAAAAAAACTTGGATGTTTTACATGAAACTGGAAGATTGAATGGGAAAGGAAGCAGAAGGGGGACTGTGGTTTTTCTTACGGTTTTGGGGGAGTTTGTTTTGATTGTGTTTTTTTTTAAGAGTTCTTCCAGATCCATATAAATGTGAACACTGAAAGGTGCCACTGCCCCTTTATTTTTTTCTGGAAAAGGTGTGCATTTGATATCCATGCAAGATGGATAAATGGTGAAAAATGGGACAGGTGCCAGGGGCTCATTATTCTGTTGGTTGCTGGGCAACAGCAGCAGCTGGTCACAGTAAGTGTGATGCTTTGGAACCAAGAATTTTATTGTATGCTTACAGCAAGACATGGGATCTCAAAGGTGATCTACTGTTCATGGAATTGTTTGAGGGTGATTAGTTTAGAAATGGCTTTGTAGGTCTATGTATCAGAGTGTAAGACTGCCATCAGTGTGGTGCTGTCCTCACTGTAACATGGACTTTGCCTTCAGTAACTTTGGAAGATTTTTTTATTGAACTTTCATAGTTCTGGCATAATCACAGACTTGATGAAGACATGTCTAAGCCAGCTAGGAAGTCTGCTGCTTAACCCACTCACAAATCAGCTGGTGAGCAATGGCCTGTTTGGGAGGAAACCAGGGTAAAAAACTACCATCATCTTGCTTTGAAGATCTGGGATGTCTCTTGAGACCCTCCACGATTTCCTCCAAGCCAAACCAACGGGCTTCCTCTAGTTCCAGCTTGTTCATACTGATCTGGAAAGAATTCAGAGAGTAGCAGTTCCTTAAATCAGATTTAAATATGGGCAGCAGTACCTTGCTTGTTCCTGCACCCACAAAGTTCCTATGGTAGAATGCCCAGAGTGCTCTACGCATACCGGGATTAAGTGCTGAAGCTAGTAGAGAAAAGGACACTACTATCCACCAGTGTTTTGTTGTCTTGGTTTCCTAAGGGAATCCACAAATCAGCCCTATTCCATCATGGCACTGGACTGCAAAGTATCAGTGGCTAAGCATGGTAATTAATATAGCAGAATGTGATATTAATGGCAAATATCATATTAATACTAGAGAGTATCTCCTCTGCCCTCTGCAAAGTTCAGATGAAAAAAAAATCAGGGGTGTTAGGCTCTGAGTTCGTACATGTTCAGAGGTCTGTGCAAAATCTGGCATGTTGCAACAGAAGATACCATTATTTTGAAGTTTGTTCTTCACTTCTAGAGAAAGCTGATGGAAAACTGCATTTAGAGAGGATCTGTTGCTCTCTTCAGTCTGTGGACTGAAAGATATTTTGCTATGTGAGGTGGGCAATAAAATGCCTCAGGGGAACCGAAGTCTGCTCACCTCAGCCTGCTGTGCCCTCACTATAGCGTGACAAGCTATCATTAAGCAGCTACTGGGAAAGGGCCAGTGCTGAGAAGCTGAGTACCAGAGTGACTCCACCTCTAGGCCAACCTCTTCTGCCACCTCTCGATGGACTGCCTCCTCAACGTTTTCACCTAAAAGCAACCATAGTCAGGTAAGGACAGCCTGGCCTCAGGGCAATAAACCGTGCAAAGAAAATGTAGGTACAGTTATTTCTGAGGTGTTCCAGCCCTGACTGCTCACACATACGCAGGAGCTCTGGCTGTGCTGACCTGGAAACACTTGTCAGCAAGATGCTCAATTAAATTTATCAACAATGCTTACCTTCGTTAAACAGAGACAACAGAGACATTTTTACTGTGTCTAATATACAGTTGGTAGGCAGAACAATGCTGCCTTTGTTCATCATTTCCCTTTTTAAGCCATTTTGTCTCGTGTAACAAGAGGTCTGTAGTTTTTCTTCTGAACCAGACTGCACTAGACACAAAATGGACTAAAAAGGTATCTGGGGTTCCGATCTGGTGAGTCTTATACATGTATTTACTTACCAACAGGGACTACAGCCACTGATACATACCCATAATTCCCATTCTTTTTGGATAAATACAGCTATTTTGAGTTCTGTCTGGATGGGAAGGCTGATCTATTTAGATCCAATATGTTTCTCCCTGATACCACTTGTGTGTCTGTCCATTTTTCTCTGTGAACATGTGTTTGATGTTTGCCCATTCTTCCCCCATACCCTTCATGTCCAAGGCCACTGTGCTGGGTCAGAGACCACCTTACCCATATCACAGAAGCCTGACAGAGCAGAATACATTCCCTGGGGAAATGAGGGCTGTCGTGCGAGGAGGCACCGGCTCCCATCAGACACCAGGGTGATAATCACTGGAGACATCTAGCAAATGCATCAAAAAGCAAAGCAAGAAGTTCAGACCGAACAAGTAAGTACAAATTGCTGCTTTTCCTACTGCACTGAGAGTCACTGGATGTACACTAAAGAAAAAGTAATCAGGTATGTGCAAAACTCTTACAGGTTCTCCTCCATGCCACCCAGCAGCATTGGCTTGTCACCACAGAGTCCCTGTGTGGATTACCTGTGCTGTTCATATGCTCACCTGTGGATAGTAAGTTATTCCGCTTGCATGACAGACACGCTTGCTGCCAGCTATGTTTCTTTGTGTGGGCTGCCCTGTTTTGCTACAGTACTGGTGGGAATCGTGCCACTGGAGAAGGGACTGAGCCTGCAAACACCAAGAAAGAAACACAAATCTTATTTCTGCCTTCTTGAAAAACAGCCCAAGCACCACAAACATTATGAAGCAGGAAAATAAACATGAGCTGTTCCTACTTATAGGTCAGGACAAGCTGATTTTCACACACAGGTCTTTTCATAGGACTTCCAAGTGTAGGGTATCTGCAGATTAATAGCTGATAAGTAGTTTTGAAAGCAGCTCTGAGGGAAGGTCTGTACATTCATTTGTGAAATTCTGTTTGCTTATAAGATTACAGGAAACTAGTGCTGGATAGTTGTTAAGCTGAGGACAAACTGGGATTGCTGTAACTGCTGATAAGATCAGTATATTTCACACTGGACATGAAGTAGGTTGATGCTAAATGGCTAATTAGTTCAGATATTTATTTTAAGCTACTTGTCTATTTCTCTTTCCATTGCAGCTTGCTTTTGGGATCACAAGTTTGGGAAAACTGTTGTCATTTATAGTGTGTTTGTACCTAGGTCGCTGAAAGTGTGCAGTACATACTTCCACAACATGTATTAAATCATAAAATAATATGGGAGACAAGGAGAAAGGTTAATGTTAGAAATCTTAGCTTTTTAAAGTAAAAAGTCCTGTACAATACCGAAGCCAGCAAAGGAGAATCCTTCCCATCCACTATGAAGAGAGCCTTTTGTAAGTTAGTAAATGACCCCTTGAGTTGAGACTCAATGACTGATTTTTCCAAGGCTCCTGTTAAAAAAAACAACAACAGCAAAATCTTTGATCTCATAAATCACAGTTATTATCCCAACTTTACGCCCTACATTGTTCCGGTATACAATTTCTGGAAGTTCCTGTGGAAGTGACACCACATCAGTGGTAACATTCCCAAATGTTACGTGACCTGCCAACAGCCCACCTTTACTAACACATGCACAATTCTGTGCCTCTGGCCCGCCACACTCAAAACAGCTCCTATAGAGACTCAACTGAGTCTACTCTGGCAGTAAATATTCACTCAGCAAGGATTAGAGACGCTGCCTAGGCAGCATCTTCATCTTAGTGCATCAAATGTGATGCTGACACAGATGGAAGAGGAGTAATCCCAACCTAAATCCAGGGCAAAGTGTGGTACGTGCTCGTCTGAACAACCGATCAGCACCGACTTCTCTATCCACTGTTCTGTCTCTTTGAATTTCTCCAGGATCCTTTTAATCTCTAAACAGCAGGGGAAAGGGGAAGAAAAATCTGTGATGAAAGCACATTCATACAACCATTATGCTCTCTCTGGATCTTCAAGGCATATGCTATCTTGGCTCAGAGCAGGGTGCTCATGTGAGAGAGGGAACTAGACAAGTGGTCCCACGTGAATGGAGACCAGAAGTCTGGCTTTCCTCTTAGCTCTTGGAATTTTTGACCATGTCAAGCTAAAGATGGAAATGCTGTAATACCTTGGGAGCAGCTGTCCATTCTATTTCTGTCCTACACTAGCCAACACCTTTCTCTCATTGAAAATTTCTCCTGTGTTACACCAAATAACCTTTATCAGATAGACCTGGCATTTTCCCTGCCAGCCCTTTCTCTTCAGTAGGCATGGTTCCAAATGTTTAAAAATGATCATCACAAAACACATCAGGTATATGTTGATACTGTAAGTGTGTGAAGAGCATGAACTTGTGTCTGCCTGTCAAGGTTTTAAGTCTGAATAGTCTTTGGTTGTTAACAAAGAGTGTGCAGGATATTCCTGCACAGCTTGATAGATTTTCAACACCCATACGAGGGGTTGCTTATTGCAAAGGACTCTCTATCGTTTCAGTTGTGTGATCCAGGAGGTATTTCCAAACACCTGCTTACCTGCTGCACTGAGCTGTGGTACGAAATATTTTTCCCCAACTTTCTGCAGGAAGGGAGAGAGATTGTGAAAGAGGTAGAAAGTTCCTGAGGTCTGGGCTTGTCTACAAAGGCTGTCATCTTCCTTTAACTCATTTAAGTATCTGAAGTGAGAGAAGAATTGGGAAGATGAATTCAAGATCATGTTGAGATCACCTTGTTATGCTTAATTGGACATACTTACGTTCCATAGAGCAGGGGGAAGAAATGGACAGAACAGATTTTATGTATTCCATATGCTTCTAGAGTTTCTGACAGCTGAGTCTACTCATTGGTGGACTGTAGACATTAGCAAAGGTGCCACGTGGCAGAAAATCCTGCAGTTGTTACTACAGAAGCAGCCTCAGGTCTTGGACATCCAAGAACAGTAACCTAGTCTATTAATCCAAGAAGTCTGCTTTACAGACATGATCATTTATGTGCATGAGACCTTCATCTTCCCTTTTATCCTCCCAATCTAGATGGCTCCAAGTCCTGTTTTGGAAAGCTACTTGAGCACTTCAGATATGGAATACGCTTCCCATCAGGCTACATGCATTACTGCAGGATACGTTCTACCTGTCACACTGACATGAGAGGTAAAGACCAAGCTGAAGTCTTACGGCTCAGTTGGCTGGGGCCTGAATTAGGAAAAGCAAGTCACTGGAAAAAGGGTGTCAGAATGTGCTGCTTTCAGACTGTTTGAAGTAGTATTTAAAAAGAGTTGAGCAGCATTGCTTCAAGTTTGTTTGTACTTTGAGATCTTTTGCTAGGACAGCAAACTTAGGCATTTATTAACAGAGCTTCAGCCTCAGAGAACCAGTTCTTATCACTGGTGAACAGAGTGGAGACATTACTGTTACCATTTACAGAGCTCTCATAGCATTACTACATCATTGTTCAGCTCTGAAAAGATTTAGGTAGGGCTGCTTGTGAAGGTGGATACAAGGGTACCAAACTCTGGTCTTCTCACTGTACACAAGAACTTACCTCATTTTTCTAACATAGGTAGAGTGTAACCTGCAGATGAGAGAGGAAGCTCTTCTATACGCTGCTTGATAAATTGCAGCCATAACCAACACCTAAAGGTAGCTGTCTCTGCCTAAAAAGAGAAGCATAGAATATAATGCAGAGGCCCTACAAATTTAAGTTTGATTTAAAGGTGCAAACACCCACTAGCAGAAATCTCCCTCTCACAGAGTCTGCAGAATGCTGGCATCTGCTTTCTAAAATTACTGCTTTGGTCTTCACTCCTAGTCGCACATCAAATCCAGTTTCAGGCAATGTTTAAGATTATTAAAAGATACCTCAGTTTGTTTCCATCTGTGACTGTGCACAAGTCTTACAGAAACTGCAGTAAGGCTACATTGAACGTTCCTGTCCTAAATGCCTGTATCCCTGGGGAAAAGAGGAGTGAAGGTGGCTGCTCTCTTTTTTGTTTCCTACACAGTTTGTAATGGCCTCAATCCAACTGAAAATCCTATTGCAGTACACAGTAGATCTGTGGGAAAGGCACGGATGCCAGAAGAGAATGAAAGACAAAATATCAGCTGTGGAAGAGAATTCCCCAAGTTAGACAAGAGACAGCAGTTGCAGCTGACTTGGATCATCTCCAGCTATGAATGCTTTTTGTGCTAAACAGTCCTACCACATTTTCAGCTCAGGCAGTCACAGACTGCAGTCTGATCTCAACTTGAGGATGTCAGAAAATAGCCAGAAATGCTACCATCTCTAGCATTCATCTGAAAAAATAAATATGATTCATAATCCTTAATAATTATTAGGATTATTTCACTTTTCAACCATAGAACTCGGAGCTCCTTAAGGAGGAAGTTACATTTGCTTTGAATTACAGACACAAAAGCAGTGCCAAAGAGTCCTGAGAGTCCTTCCTTTCAGTAAAGGTCAGTGATGGCTCCAGAGCCTGAGTGATGCCTGAGCCGAGGCTCCCATCTGCACATGCAGTTTTTGTAGCAAGCAGCATGGAGGCTGTGCCTTGCAGCTTCTGACATCTTTGCCTCAGATCCTCTTTCCCAGTGTCTCAGCTGAGTGTGGTCTTCACCAGGGTGATCCCTGGTGAGACAGGGGAGCCAGGCCTGCTGCAGAAGCTGCTGGGGAGAGCATTGGCATCCCTGCTCAGTGCTGCAGCCACAGCAATGGGAGCTCGGCATGCTGCCAGCAGGCTCAGGCAGAAGCATGGGAGGACTGACACCAACACGGAGACCACGTCTGAAACAGTTGTGTGGTGTGATGATTATGTGTCCGTCACTTCTCCACCCCCACATCTCATAGAGCCTTGGCTTGTGAAAATCTGCAGAACAGCAGCAGCCTGTGCTGAATTCAGGAGCTCTGTACTTTGGAATGAACAGCAGAGTGCGACTGGGGCAGGGAAAGAGGAATAGCTTGTACTTGCAATAATGAAATGCAACATGTGCAGGCGTTTAACCCCTTCCTTCCTAGGAACCACAGTGCCAGAGTTTGGTTAGGATCATTGGAAACTTGGAGACAGTAAAAACTTCATCTCGGGAGGCCAGCCCAAACTCCCATCTTGCCTTTAAATCTCACCTATGCTGTACAGCTGGCAGGAGGTAGATCTAGGCCTGTCATTCCCCACACGTTTTCCCCACTTACTGTGCTCAGTGCAGGGGTGCTGTGTCCAGCAGCAGGGATGAGCTAGCTGTGAGAGTCCCGCGTTGCCCTCGGTTAGCAGCCCTGCTCCTACAACAAACAGCGGAGCAGCTGGCTCCCTGGGTCTGACTCGCTTTTCCCCCACTGGGGGCGCTGGGAAATGTAGTTCTGCCCATGCTGCTCGCAAGCCATTGGCAAAGATAGATGGCTGGGTTTTGATTAACTTCAGGAGTTAGTGAGGATGCCTGACAGCAAACTCTTTTTATTTTCCATACCTGCTTAATTCTATCAGGAAACCAGATGCTGTGTTTTACCATGCAGAGACATGAGAACAATGCTACTGCAGGAATCTGTGCTGTTCTAGCAGAGAAGTTTGTTCCTGGTAGTTTCTTTCCTTTTTTTCTTCTAAGCTTCTCTGTGTTTTTTTATCAGTAACATAAAAGCGCTGTTTAAAGTTAAGAACCATATGGCTTCAAACAGCAAAATATGCCAAGAGCTGTGTATATACCTAAAGGAAGGAGCTGTTTATAGTGTTGAAGCACCCAAAGCCACAGTTAAATTTGTACATGAATAGTGCTGATCAGAAAGTGTGCTTTGCCAAGATAGATGTCAGAATAATGACAAATTATTCTCATGCCTTTATAGCTGAACAAACAGATTCCTCCCAAGTACTGAAAACATTATTCTGGGCTGGAACCTACCTGCCTATATTTAGCACAAAGAGAATTTTATAAACATATGAAAGTAAGTGTTTTGCTTTTTGGTCATAAATTGAGACATTCTAGTCGAGAATTCACATCATGTAATTTGAGAGCATAGCTTGTAAAAATAATAAATAGAACATGCAGGAAAATAGCATGCTTGTTACAAGCATTACTGAAGTTTAGGTTTAATTATGCTTGGCTGCTATTTGTGTGCTCCCTGAAACAGAGCAAGTCCAATCTTATTAATCCACTAAAGCTAATTGGATTAATGGACAAAACACATCTTCCTTTAATAAGATACAGGATTGAAATATAATCTCTAAGGGAAGTATCCACCCTGCTGTTAAAATAAACTAACGGATTTATTGACCCTAACTGCTCCCAGAAATGGATCTTTCAAGAAGAGCTGGTTTTTGAGGGAAGCAGTTGGAGGAGATACTTTGGACCTCAAATCTTGGGACAGCCTCTCAACCTTCTGCAGCCCAAAGCAATCTGTCATTTGGTAATTAACTGCACCCCTATCCACGTGAGGGATTAAAAGCCAGAGCACTATGCTGCAGTGTAAAGACTCCTTTGAAGGAGGTACAGTGCTGTAGTCCTTTGTTGCTATAAGCAGCTGAAAAAAAAAAATCATGGATTAGCCCAATTGTGTATGCCTGGCCCCTGTGCTGTGCGAAGATATGCAGAGAAAATGAGATTAGAGTGACTCTGTGATTGATCTGGCTGGTGGGAAGCCATGCAGTCTGCGAGAGATTCCTTGTGCCTTCTCCAGGGATCCATACATCTGTGTGGGATTGTGCATTGCCCTAATAAATATTTCTGCGGTACATAAGCAGGGGAGATAATTTTGGAAGTAACGTAATATATTGACTTAATTCATCTAAGGAGCACAAATATCACTTGTCACTTCAGCACTGAGTTGCTTCTTTGTAAGTATTTTTAGGCTGGGCTCTGAGTTGTGTGAATTGCATCTACAATCTATGTGTATTAGTCCTTGCACATACTGTACTCCATGCTAGAAGCCGTCCTGTTAGTGGAGGCCTGGCCCTATAAATGCATCTCTGACAGCTTCCTGTTGCTTACTGAGCTTTGGCAGGCCACCAGAGGAAGTGAATCCTCAGACTCTCCTGATGTAAGAAGAGCAAACAAAAGGAACAGACCAGGAGGACACAAGCAGTGGGAACAAATACTTGTTATCTCTTGCATGGGCAAGAGTGCAAAATGGACAGATCTTTGGTCCTGTGTTATTTTGTTTTTAATCTGGGTTAAAAAAAATACTCATATTGGTATTAGCAGTTGGTAAAAGGATTTTCAAGCCAACGAAGTGACTGAAAAAATGTAATTCTAGGCTAATAATGATTATAGAACTAATCTTGCTTGTTCTGTTTGGTATCTTTCCAGCTGCCCCCAATAAGCAGAAACAAGCATTAGAATTGCTATTGCTAACAGGTGGCCTTTACAAAACAAATGTTAATTGCTTCAAATACATAAAATTAGCGAATTCCCATTGAACACTTATGGTCAAGCCACAAGAAACCTCTTGGAAAAAAAAGATACTTCTTTTTTTAGGAAGAGCCCAAGGAAAGAGAAAACCCACTTCTTTAAAACGAAAGTTAATGAGTAGTCTTTCCCTCTATCATTACATTTTAGATGCAAACTAACCAAATCTGGCTTTTTGTAAAGTGAACTTGTAGTGTATGTTATTTGTATGATGGACTCCTTCAGGTTCTCATGCTCCAGGTGCAGACCTTGGAAGAAACTTATGTGATGCTGCTGATTACATCCTGTGCTCCTAACACTAGCACAGGTCTAGAGGAGACTCTTTAACATCTGAATATTTCAGTAGGATTTGCTCATTTCAGCTTACTGGGGTAGCATGTGTGGTTTTTGACTTTTTCCCTCCCTGCTGCTGTTGATTCAGGAAGATCCTCCAAGTCTGGCACTGACTTTTTGCACTGCACATCATAACTGATGATAGGATCTGGCCTCTTGGCTGCAGGTAATGATGTCATTTGGGAAGCAGACTAGCACTGTTAAATGAACACGTGTGAAATAAGACGAGACTTCATCTCTTTTCAAGAGTAAACCTAAGTAGTTAAAAAAGCTAAGCAATACAGTGAGCTAATTTGGTATGACAGAAAGGTGACTCACCTGTGTCTTAAAACATTGCAATGCAGATGACAGCCTGTCATTTCCAAAAGAATACTGAAAAACTTGAAAAGGTTCAAAGAGGACAACAGGCATGATCAAAGACTTGGGACTACAGCCGTTGCAAAGAACTAGGTAGGCTCTGATGCTTCAGCCTGTGTAAGGGATAGGTACCAACTCTTTGCTGTCTCTGCCACTCCAGGAACCTGGTTTATCACATCTAACTAGCTGGTTTTCCATGCCCTGGCACAACTACTAGGTCAAGGATGTTGTGCATGCAAACCAATTCTAGCTCAAGAGATGAGGAATATTTACCAGAGAACTCTATTGAGGGTTACTAAATAGAGCACACCAGTCTGAGAAAATCCCTGTTGAAAGTGTTTGGAAGCTGGGACAGTACTCTAGGCAGCATTGGATAAACAAAGCTTGGTGTGAGCCACTACAGTTGTGTTCTTGTGAGGCCTCTTGTGTTTCTTTCTTCTTTTAGATGGACATTTCTTTTAGTATCTTTCAGCTGAGGGCCTATAGAGTGCTTCTACAGGATTGCTCAGCAAAGGAAGTATGTTGTTAGGCTTGTGTGTGCTACTAAGGAGTCAGTGTTTCTGCTAAAAACCACACAGGGCTCTGCAAACCCTAAAGTAAGGCTGAAAGGCACTTGTTCTGCTGTAGTTCTTTCAAAAAGCATTTCTGTTGCACTTGTTCTTAGAGATAGTGCTTCCTAACAAGGTGCCAATGTAACAAATTGCTTTGCTAAGACATGCTTGAAGCTGCCCAGCCCTATCAGCATTTGACAGCAGGTGATAACGCACAAGTCCAGCATAAACCAATATACAAACAATCTTTTAATGCAACTGGAAGGTCAGTGACTGTGCTGGAGTTGGGGGAGACATGAGAAATGAGTAAGTACTCTCTACCTAACTGGCAAAAAGCATATAAGGGGCAGAAACTGACTTGCGGAGCATGATGATGCCATGACTACTAGAAGCAACTCTTGATTTACCTGTGTGGTAGATACAAAAATCCTAGGCTCCTTTTAGCAGAAATTTCTTTGCCTTCAGCCCCACGCTGACCAGTACAAGCAAGCCTGCAATTAAACATGCTAATAATCATGTTGTTCCACACTGTCTGCCTTAGTTTTGATTGACATGTTTGTCAATAGTGCAAAAGCAGTGAATCTCACTAGAAAGAATCTGAATGCTCTACAGTGTGTGAGGTTTTGCCAAATCTCTGGAAGCTGCTGTTAAATCTCTGGCTCTGTATTATGGACTCTTTGGATAATAGGGCTTTAACTAGATGCCTCAGCTAGAAGCTTGGATATTATTCCAGTATTTCCTGCTAGTTGTAGGAGTTGTATTTCTGTTGGAAGGCGACCAAAATGAGAGGAAAGGAAAGCTTAGTTTTTGACGGATAGCTCCACTAAAAACTGGCCTTCTTCCAGCTCTGGCACAGCACCACTTGCAGTACTGGCAGTGTAGTCAACTGTGTGGACACATCTGTATCTACAGTTGGACAAGAAATTACTAACTTCATCTAATGTTATTGTTTGTTTCTCATATGAGCTATGTCGTATCTCATAGTCTTCCCTAAAATGGGGCATAACATGTGATGTTATGATGTTTGCTCTTCAAAATACATTGCTTAGGAAGTTGAAGCTGAGGCAACAGTTCAGGAATAAGGAAACAAACCTTAGTTAAAGATCATGTTGCAACCTCCAGTTACCTCTTATGAATGGGGTGGGTTTAAGCCAGTTGAAAATTACCCCTGCTAAAGAATGTGTGTCAGAAAGGGATTTTGACCCCTGTTATGGCTTTGCCAGCACTGAGTAATTGTTGTTGTGAAAGCTTTCTAGCTGGGGTGGCCAAAAATCTCTCTTAAGGAAGATCACAGGCTGGCCAAGCTAGTAAGGATTGTTTGAAGTTCACATCTAAAAGGAAGGGAAAACTTGCTTATGAACATCCCCAATTGTAACTTAATTGCTGAAACTAAAATGAACAAGTAACAAGTTTATTTATGAGCTCCTAGAAAACAAAGAACAGTCAGCATAGATCTGTCACAGCAAGATACATCCAAGCAGCTTAACATCTTTCTGCAATAGGTGAGCTACATCTTTGTGGTGAAGCTTTTGATATTGCCTCTTTGATCAGCCAAGTTGAGATGAACGCCCTGGAACAAGGGAAGGCTGCTTCAGAAATGGCACTTGATAAAGGTACCGTCAATCTGGAAACGCTTCCACCTGGGCTTTGCAGAAGATGAGTAAAAGTGTTGGCCACCAGCAGACTTGGATGGTGGAACAGAAAGCGTGCTGTGAACCAGATGACACCAGTTGGAGTGCAGGAGGTGCAAGGTTGGTTTAACATCAAAATTACGAATATAAGTTAAAGCACAAGGCAGAGATAAACTGTAGTTGTGCGGGGAGGAGGGGAGCTGGCGAGCCAAGCTGCTCGGGGAACGAGCATCGGGGCCGATGCCGCCAAACTGTGCATCCACCGTGTATCGCAGACCGCACACTGTGGTGGTCAGACAGCAGCTGCCGCCGGCCGTGTCCGTTCACCGATACCGGCGGGGAGCTCCTGCCCGAGGAACGCCACCGTGGACCCCGTTCGCGGTGCAGGCGTTCCCCGCCTGCTCCCACGTGGAGCAGAGCGGCGGCGCTTGCGCGCTGGGGCAGCCGCCGCTGTGACCGAGCTCACGTAGCGAGCGGCCCGCGCCGCCCCTCCTCGCGCGGGACGGGAGCGGGGTGGGCGTGGCCTGGCAGCCTATAAAAGCTTCCGCGGGGCCGTGCGCGCGCGGTCGGTTAAGTCCTCGGGCTGCTCGCGCCCGTCTGTTACCGGCGCCGCCGCCCCTCAGCGCCGCGTCAGCTGCCTCCGCCGCTGTACCCTCCGCACAGGTGAGGCCCGGCCGCCCTCGCTTTTCACTGGCGGTGGGAGGGTGGGTCACGGGGACAGGGCGGCGCGCCCTGAGGGGAGCGTCGGGGCCCGGGCGCGGTGGGAGAGGTAGGGGTGT